ATGACACTTCTTTATATGCAAGTGCAAAAAGATTTCAGGTTCTGTCCTCTTTTCTTTGTTGGAACTATCAGGTCGCGTCCTCTTGCAATGTAAGATTATCCTTATTTTCAAGTCATTTTTGTTCTGACATCATTGTACCCTTTTCAAATAGATAGATGCCATGAGTAAACAATTATTGAATTGCAGGCAGGTATTGTTAAGGACTTGAGGCTCAGATTTCACTTTTTGGGTTTTTTCTTTTGAGGAAAAAATACTTAATATTGGTATATCCTAGACCTTTTCATTTGAACTTCATGATGCCCTGATAGATATAACAGTTATTTTGTTTCAGTAAGGAGGAAAAAATTGAATTTGTTTGTCTGACATTACATAATCTCTAAATATTGCGGTCGTATCTTATATCTTATCTTTTAGTTTCTCTTTGCCACTAGCACAACATTTTTTGTAGGCTACGAAGCACTAGCATACTACTTATAATCTTCCTATCTGGTTATGCAAAAGGTGAATCTGTACTCATTAAACTTTGTTAAATAGTAGGTCCTCCTAACAGTATGCCTAAAACTAATTGTTTCTCTGTGTCTATAGTATGTTAGTCCAGCACAATGGATGTTCTTGACTAACTGCTAGCTTTATTTGGTCTTATCTGATTCTCTGGTATTAATCCACTCGTACATTGCCAAACTCAGTATGATTATACATGGAGTATGCTATATACTTTGATGATATTTTCAGATTTTAAATACTCCCTCCGTCCCAAAATTCTTGTCTTAGATTTGTCTAAATACGGATGTATCAAGTCACATTTTAGTAGTATTAGATACATCCGTATCTAGACGAATCTAAGACAAGAATTTTGGGACGGAGGGAGTATATGACAAGCACAATCCCTGGTACTAATGCTTACTCTGTTTATTTTGGATGTTCAAGTGTAGCATCTATTGACCAATGCAAGCTCCATCAGGATGTGCGCAGTGTCCATAAGTTTCTTTTTGGCCAGTACGGGGAGAAAAATATATGGAATGTACAACAATCCTACATGAAACATTCTGAACATAGTCATATCGAGCTACCCCTAGAAATTTCTATAGCTTCTATGAACTCAGGGCCAACTTGCATTTTCATGTCAAGCATGGCTGATTATCAGAGGGCAAGGAAAGATGGGGTAGCAGAATCATTGCCTACGATGAGTTCATCGGGTCGAAGTGCACATTAACAAGCATTGCCTGCTGTCTGCCTTCGCCTACTTTGACGAGGACGACAGCGGGTACATCACCGTTGACCCGCTGGAAGAGGTGTGCTGGGAGTACAACACAGGCTGACGTCGGCAACGCGACATCATTAGGGAGGTCGGCAATGAGAACATGCGTATGTTTATTCGCTGCAGTCACCATCTCAAATTAATTAATTAGTTTCAATTAACTCCGTTGAATAGTCTGTACTCTGTACTATTTCGCTAATTACTAAAAATCTGAAATGCAAATTGACCATGTCTACATTTGATTAGGATGTTCAAATTGACTATGGGGAGTTCGTGGCAATGGTGAAGGGGATCATCGAGAATGGAAGGTTGACCATCATTCTCCATGGAGCAGACGACCTGAGCTAGCCTTTGATTGAAATATTCATATACAACAAACTATCTTTGTTCGCATTGTGCTATAGATGATATCAATATTTTTAACCCAAGTCATTATTCATTTTGTGTGTGGAAAGTAACTGAGAAACAAATTCATCTATGTGATTTGTATGGTTGCATCCCTATGGTTGCATGAAAAACTGAACTTTCTTTCCATGGGAATTTTTGACTCATCTACTACTCCTATAGAAAGCATGAAGTGCTGAGATAATGGAGAATGAATGAAATCTTCATGTAACATGGTTGAGTATTAGTTTCAGCTTGAGAGTATATGACAACTCATGCAGGTTTGAAATTACTTGAAGAAAGCATATGAGAAGCGAGTATAGGAGCTTTAATATTAGAGCAACAAGGGAGGAGCAAATGATTGAAGGGGCTATCAGCCGTGTAAAAGAAAACCGAGGATCACGTCATTAGGTGGAAAAACTATATTTGATTGGCATAATAACACTAGCAAGGTGAATAACAATGTAACATTATCTTTTCATTAGTTGATCCATTCAACTTTTGTTTGATACGACTGCCATGATATTTGGATAGGAAAGTTATCTGTTAACTCGTATCATTTTTATGTGTTAGCTAATAATTATGCACTGTGCTTTGCCTGCAATTTCCTATAAGTTTTCCATTGTTTTAGAAGATATTGTTGTGAAGTATAGTTTCTGAAGAAAATTAAAATATGCTTGTAGTAAATTTTTCCTGAAGTATTGTCATCTTGTAGAATGATCGACAACGGGCTCCCAGTAAAAAAATAGGATAGGAGCAGTCGGTACCAAAAAATGAGGATATGAGAAGTTAGTTGGTAGTTGAAGTTAGTACAATTGCAGTTAGCATTGTTTTCATTGGCGTTGCAGCTGAGGAAATATGTGATATGCAGTAATTTGGTCAACAAAAGAACATTTGACTTTTGAGGTAACTCAACACACTTTGCAAAATGAATGATGAGGGGATATTAGGCTATTTTTCTATGCATCTGGTGATAATAATAGACGTGCATTGCACGTACACGTTTACTAGTTTAGTTAAAATTCAATGAGCAACCTGTATTGGATGCAACGAAAATGTTGGGTTTGTTTCACGGTAAGGCCGTGTGTGCAAAACTAAAAATGCAATACAGTTCACGGCTAAAGGCACATAAGCTGATCGCTCATGCTTCGAGAGAGCCCTTGGCCATCTTATTCTAGTTAGGACTTAGGATAACTGAGCCTACTTACAGACACATGCCTCCTAATTGATTATTTACCCCTGTTCACATTTTTGGGGTTGACCATTAATTTACAATTTTCTTGTATAGCAATCACTTCCTTCTCCTTTCCCTTTTTGATATTCATGAAATTATTCTGTTGTTCCAATTCTGTCCCTGACCCTATCAAACTTCCCTCTTTCTGAAGGAACATACACAATAACCTGACACGGGAAGGCAAAAACTGAACCCAATGCGCAAGCAGTGATCCACAACTAATGATAATGCCGCCTGCCTGGGCCAAATCATGGCATTGATGTTTGAATTCAAAAGTATAAACAGTGGTGGAAACGTGGCATTTGGAACATCAGAACACAGCATAAGCAATATTTGTGATGTGGTTGGCCATTGTCACACATCATCAGCTAGGAGCATTAGTAGCTCGCTGTGAGATCTAGTTCGGGGCTCTCAGCCATGCGTGCCGTCAGTGGTGGTCACCCTTGCCACACCACTGAAGTGGGGAACCTACATTGTCTTCCTCGTTGCTTTGGAGACTCGTGAGTAGATGCTAAGTACGGGTATGGTCGAACCCAAACACCAGGATGGGGCAAGGTAAAAGGAGAAGGAAAAAAGGCTGACTATAGCAGAGAAAAAAAGTAGTTGAACAAAACATTGTTTTGCATAACTAGAAAGGGTAGATTGTCAAAACAAGAATCTAAACAGGGCAAACTAGAGGTACCTGTAAGAGAGACAAATTATCAACATTCCAATTCCAGTAAGGAAGCAGTATGCCCAGACAAAATATACGTAGCAGAATCATAAGTTGTGGATATTAAATTAAAGACTTTCCTAAGATGTGAATGGCCCTCAAACATTAACAGAAGCGGCAGGATATGCAAATTTGGTGGGATATATGTGCCTTCCTTGGCATGACGGAATTGTCTTCTTTATGCCCCCATCACAAAGGCAATTATTGAACAGGCAAACAAATCAAGACCACGTTCCCTACTTTAACAGGTCCTCATAATAATCTTTATCTTTACCTTAATTAATAATAAAGCAAATTGAGTTTCTTTCGACCGTCATGGCATTTTTCAGAGAAGTCCCTTTATTTTAGAGAATTCAATCCGCAGTTCTGTTTTAAGTTAAAACGAATCGTTATTTTCGTATTTTACACAAAAGTCCATGTCTTTTCTTGAAATCAACCCGCCGTCCGGATTTAAGTCACATCCGAACCGTTATTTTACATTTTTTGAAACCCCCTGATGTTTTAGGTAATTCATCCGCGGATCATATTTAAGTCAAACAAATGCTTTTTAAAATCATCCATATGTTTTAAATCGTAACTCCGATTTGAACATGTTATATATGAAATTTGATTAGAAAAATATGTAGAATATGAATATGAGATTATTTTTACCTGTTAAGTATTTTTAAATATTATTTTGGAATATATTTAAGTCAAACCAAATGATTTTCTAAATTATCTGTATCTTTTAAACCGTAACTTCGATTTTAACATATTATATATGAAATTTTATTAGAAAAATGTGTGGAATCTAAATATGATGTTAATTTTACCTGTTAAATATTTTTAAAATATTGTTATGAAAGCAAACTTATAATTTGTAGCGCAAGATTCGGTTTTTTTCATACCGGCGGCGATCCGATTGCAAATAAACACCCCACTATAACCATATACGAAAAAGAAAACATCGATAACTACACATGCATACCTCTGAAAAATGTCGCAGAGGAAAACAACAGATTTCTCATTGCGAGAGTGAGAGAAAGCGAGCGAGCGAGCGAGAGAGAGAGAGAGGGGGAGAGAGAGAGAGAGAGAGAGAGAGAGAGAGAGAGAGGGAGGAGAGAGGCGCCTTAGGATTAACCATATTCAACACACGTTTTTTTGTTGTTTTGTGTGAACACCGAGGCCATCGCCGACGAGAGTGAGGAGGATAAGCGGCAACACAAATATGATGCCTCGCAAAAATAAAGGAGATGGACCTATTATGGTCTTGAGTGATAGTTGTTGAGTTAAGAGCGTGTGTTATGTTTTCTCTCCCGTTGCAACGCACGAGCTCTTTTGCTAGTAACATAAAATGGAATAACCTTCTACAAGAACAATAAGAACTGCAAAGTGCAAAGCACAACGATCATAGAAAAAACAAACTTACCACTTCATATACTCGGTTTTGACAACGATGGAGGGAGGCCGAAGTACCAGAAAATACTTTCATTATCAAATAGTGCCCTCAACTTACTGCAAACCTTGGTAAGTTCAGAAGTCCGGGCATCTAGCGAGAAATAATGTACTTCAAAATCACTCCTCTGCCTCAACCAGACTCCATCAGCTACCCACTCCTTTTCTGCAAAGGTAGTGGCTCCAAGGAATAGGAATCCCTCAGCTGCACCCACGGTGTAATAGTAATACTGGCTAGACAATGGTGTAATTTGCTCCAGCTGCCATTCCATGGAAGAGTCATCGTTATCTTGCTGAATGGTATGATGGACATCAAACGAGCCTTTTGTATTTCGATCACCAACGAGAGAAACCATCTTAAGGGCTTCTTCCTCTCTAGCCACTACAATGGAAGACTGGCGTCTCCTCGGGCCAGGCTGATCTACAAGTTGCTTATGGTAACCTGTGAGGAAGTCGATAGTGCAGAACTCAATTGTGCACGTGTCCAGCACAAGCCACTTGTCCCTCCAGGGCACAAGCCACTCGTCCCTCCAGAAACTGCAAAGGTCCGTCCAGTAGAAGCAGCCCTGTAGGCAACTGTGATCGGACAATGTCAAATTGGGCTGAACCAAACCCAAAGAACTCCAGCTGGTCGACGCAGCTATACACCAATTTGAAGTGACGGAAGAGAAGACAAATGCAACCAATTTGCTGGTGTAGTGCGCCGGGCAGATAACTCTGAAGGCCGTCTCATCCTCATCGTCACCGATTGAGCGAGCATGGTCTCGATCTGAACAAATTTCTCTTCCTGGACGGCCAGGTCCTTGGGTATGGATGGAATCAACACGTAGCGCCGTGACAGCGGGTCGCAAACCGCAAGGTTTCTGAACATGGCCGTGGTGGTTTTGCCTGGTCTATCGTCGAGGAGGACGCGGGCGTCGCGGAGATACCAGTCGGCAGGGAACGGTGGGTTACCAAATTTGAGCTTGGGGACGAATGAGTAGGTGAAATCAGCGGCGACGGCGAGGGCGCGCGCGAGCGGGGCGGAGGGGTGGGGCGCCTGAGCGGGGTGGAAGCCGTCTTGCTCGCTGAGGAGTCCGAGGAGCGGCGGCGGTTGGCGCTTGCGGTAGCGGCGGAGGAAGGAGCGCTGGGTGATGACGCGGCGGTAACGGGGGCAGGCGGTTGAGGCGCGGGCGAGCGCGGCCGGGGTGGCCAGGCGGAGGAAGATCTCCTCCATGATTTCGTCGGTGAGGTGCGGCACCGGGTCGACCATGCCGCCGGCGGCCGGGGTGGGAGGAACCGAGGAAGGGAATGGGTCGCTAGGGTTTTCGGCGGAGTGGGGTGAGGTCGGGGGCCTCCAGTGCTGTGTGACTTTGGAAGGAGAGAACGGACGCGAGGCAGTGGACGGGATGGACGCGTGGTGAACTGGGTGTCACTCTGTGCGTTTGGTTTATTCGGTTTATATGATTTTTTAGTTTGTATGGTATTAATACTTCATAAATATAATATGAAATTCAAAAATACGATTCGGTTTCGGTATATATCAAATTATTGCGGTATGGTTTCGGTATATACCATAATAACCAGAGTTGACGCGAATTTGAAAATAACGTAATAATAATTTGCAAATTTATGACTCAAAACACATACTGTTTAACACAAATAGTATATAAGTATATATGCATGCATTGATTCATCTGTTGATGGTTATGGACGAGCTTAGCATTTTAAAAAGAGAAAAAATTACTATGTTACAAGAAAAAATTATGTACTTAGTAGTGAATTTGATTCATGTATAAGAAAAATGACAACTTGTATGGTTGTTCATCACAAGAAATATAAAATTATTTTTTACTTCGGTTTATTCGGTTAACCATTCAGTTTTCCGGTATATACCGTAAAAATCAAAGTTTAAACCGGTATGAAAAGTTCATACCATACCAAAACCAGAAACCATAAAAACCATAAATTTGATTCGGTTCGGTTTATCTTCGGTATGGTTTTTCGGTTCGGTTTTCAAATGCACAGAGTGAACTGGGTGGGTCACAAGTTGGGTAGAATCCTAGGTGGTTGGTTTCCATTGTTCACTTATTTGGAACCAAACAGGCCCTAAGTGATACCTTCTTGATCTTTCCGCATCCAGTGGCCTGTCCAGGAGGCTCTGTTCTCGTGCTCGTCTACACCCATTAACGCCTCATCACCCTTATTCTCTCCCGATCGGCGGTGGCCCTTATCCCTTCCTCTGTCCTGATTGCACCTCCCTATCTTGGCAGGCCACACCTTTCTTTTCCTAAGCATCCTCGTCCAACTTTCTCACGCCGCTCGAGCTTTACCACCAGTTCTTTTGCAGGTGCAACCATGAGCTGGAAGAGAGGAGGAGTCGACTGACATTGTTAGGTCTCTTTTGGTTCATAGGATAGGAAAATTATAGGAATAGGAAAGTCATATGTCGGGGGTTGGGTGCGACATACGCCAAAGGACGGCTTATCATGGTGGGGGCGAGTAGAACGTCGCCGATGTCTGGAAACGGGATAAGGTGAAGACATGCACGCCGGCGAATCTTACCCAGCTTCAGGGCTCTCCAGGGAAATAATACCCCTACTGCTGCTCTGCAGGGTCTCCGCATGATCACTATGGCAAAGTGTTTACACGGTTGCTCCTTGAGCTGTTTTCTGGAGGTAGGAGAAGGCAAGGCTAGCTCTCTCCTTCCTATATGATCTGGTCTAGTGCTAATGGATTCCAACCCTTTGCATGGATGCCCTGGGGGGTTTATATAGGCCTACCCCCCAGGGGTACAATGGTAATCCGTCTGGGCGCGGGCCCAGCCGTCAGTCTCTTTGGCCCCCGTCTTATCCGCCGAGTCCTGGGGCCCGCGGACTAGCTTGGTGTGGAGCCAACAGGCCGCGTCCGCCGCGGGCGGGTCTTTGCCGGCTACAGATTACTGTAGCCGTGCCTCTAATGACGCAGGCTCGGTCATGAGGTCGTGGCGACAACCCCGCTGTCTGGCGGGCGATCACTGTGGCCACTACTTGTCGTGTCCGATTAATGGCGCATGGGGCCCATGGGAGGGGCAGACCGACTTCTGGTGGCCGACTCCCATCCGGGCCGACTGGTGGGGCCCATCATCCCTGGGTCGTACCAGCAGGCCGTCGTGGGCACAGGGCTCCGCCCCCTGGGGCTGATGTCAGGGCCGGCATGGCAACAGTGTCGCGCCGCGCGGAGATCTTCGTGGGTACGGCGTATTGTAGCCACGCCTGCCCTTGGAAAAAGGGGTGGGAGTGGACCTTACTGTGGCCACTCCCCGTCCCATCCCTCTTTATGAGGGCATGGGGGTTGTTGGCGTCGCGGGCTGACTCCCCAAGGCCGGCTTCTCTGGAAGTCGCCAGTCAGGAGTCGGCTCATCCCGAAGTCGTTCCTGGGACTCGGCCGGGAGTGGGCAGCCGGCCGCCTCACCGCCGACTCTTAGAAGGCGGCTCTTCGTCCTGGGGTCTCGAGGGGCGCAGTCTGCCTCAATGTCTTGAAAGGTTCTGGGCCTGGGTTAGCCTACCCATGGCCCATTACTCCGACAGTAGTCCCCGAAGCTGGTGAGGCTCCGAGGGCGACATGTCATGGAGACTCAACAGTTTCTTCTCTCCGACGGTCGGATCTGGGCTTCGCTAGCCGTGTTCTGTCAAGCCGACTAGTTGGAGTCGGACTTGCTCAAGGCCGACTTGCCCCTAAAATAGTTTGAACGTTGCGGCAGAGTTCAGGCGGCGTGCCTGATAAGCTTCCGGGTTGCCGCCCGTGGTTGACCCGTCGCGAGGCGCCACATGGCGGAGCTAGTCTGATCGCCCACGCGCGTGATAGGACAGGCCTACAGGCGGGGCCCGCCACTACCGCGCCTCGGCATGCGAACAGATCCGTTGCGGCCGCGCGGACGGTTGGGGTTCTCACGCGGTTATAGCGCGTGGTAACTTCGTGTGGTAAATCGTGGGGGTCGTGGGGTCCCGGGCGCAGTTAATGCCACGTCCGCCCCCTCGACTTCTCAGCCCACGAGCCTACAAGTAGGCGGAGGGAGGGGGGCGGCGAAGCACGCGCGCCCATTCTTCCCACTTCCTTTCGCTCCTTCTTGCTTCTTCTTCTTCTTGCCGCTGCTGCTCCGGACCACGCCGTGCCTACAGCGATGAGCTCCTCCACCGCCGCCGCGCCTCCTGCTGTTCGCTCCGGAGTGTGGGATGGCTCCGAGGTTGACGTTGACGACATCGAGATCCTCTGCCAGACACGACAGCTGCCTGGCAGGGACTTAGTGCGGGTCCGCCTCGCGCCGGAGGGAGAGATATCACTGGCGCCGGAGGAGGGCGAGCGGGTCATATTCCGCTCGCACCTCATGCGCAGCTGGGACTGCCGGCGAGCGGCTTCTTCCGCTCCTTCTTGGAGTTCCACGGGCTCCAGCCGCACCACCTTACTCCGAACACGGTGGTGCTGCTGGCTGCCTTCTCCATCCTGTGCGAAGGCTTCCTCGACGTTCTCCCCACCATCGAGCTCTGGGGGAAGTTCTTCCAATCCAAGCTCGGCACACACGCTGCCGGCGTGCCGGCCCAGTGCGGTGCATTCATCGCAATGCAGAGATCAGTGGCCGACAATCCGTTTCCCACCATCACACTGATTAAGTCGGTGAAGATGTGACAGCGGTCATATTTTTATGTGAAGAACGTCGCCCCAGAAGGCGACTGGGTCAACCTGCCGGCTTACGAAGCCGGCGCGTCGGCTGGAAGGCTCCCCAGCTGGTCACACCGAGCCAGGACACTGTCTCCCGCTGGTGCCGCCACCGTCGCGCGACTTCGAGCACTAACGCAGTCGGAGGGCCTGACCGGGGCCGACTTGCTGGCCGCCTTCGTGGTGCGCCGAGTACTCCCACTCCAAGGCCGACCTCACCTGATCTGCCAGATGAGCGGTCATCGGGACCCGAGTCGGATGTGCTCCAAGGACATGCCTCACGCGGAGGTGGCGAACACGGTGAACTACATCGCGAACTGCGGTCTTTTGGTGGACTGGCGGTTCGGCAAGGAGCCGTATTCGCGTGCCAACCCCCCGCCTATTGTAATTCGTCTTCCTTCTTCTTCTGTTTCTTTTGCTGCCGAGTCCGACTTGTCAAGTCTGACCGTTTTTGTTTTGAATCAGAATCCTCTCGTCCCTCCTTCGGCCGGCATCGTGGGGCCGACTCGTCAGTTTGTCTCCGATCGGGCGGAGAGTGGCGTCCACGATCCCGACTTAGGGGCGGCAGCCATGGAAGCCGACGCCGAGGGAGGAGGAGGAGAAGCAGGCGGCTCCAGGACTTCGGCCACTTTCGCCGACTGGCCTGACGATGAGGCCGAGGGAGAAGTCGCCCCATGTCGCC